TAGGCATGAAGAATAGTTTTATATTTAATATTTGAAGAATAAACAAGTACATAAACAAACCCTCACATATTTAGAGTACCACCCAGGCTCCATGATTTAATCCCAAAATTCACTAAGAGAATCTGGCTTAATTAGGGAAATAAAAGTACCCATTTTAGAAGTTATACTATATAGGCAAAGTACTGTAAAATTTGAAATCTTTAAGTTGAGACCTTTGTAAGAGGTTATTTGGTCCAATTTCCTGCCAACATCAAACAAGGAAGAGCAATCACATTAGAATGGAGGGAAAAACTCTTGACAGTGAGAGTTAAGGTTGAACTTCATTCTACAGCATTTGTAACAATCCAATTTGTCTGAGATGGTTGATTTTGCTGAAAAACGGTGGGATTGAATGTGTGTATGTTGTAAACATAGGAGCGGGAAAGCAGACCAGACTGGTGCATGCTCATTTTTCACCTGTCAGGAATGAGGAGATAAGAAGGTGGAGATTACCTGAATCAAGAATTTAGTTGACATATTAGGAAGAACTTCCTAAGAATTCAGATTCTTTTATGCATAGCGTTGGACTAGCTCTGTCCAGCAAACTAGCAATTCCATGCTATCAGACTTCAAGCAATCTTAGCCTATATAATGGCAGCAAAGAACAGGACAAGAAGTGAAGCAATGCCAAGATTTGGTCATGGGTGTCTAATCTTCATCTGACTCTCAGAAAAGTGTGCACTACCCTTATCGCCTGTGAAAAGCATAACTGGTCTCTGGGTCTATCATGACTTTAAAATGTGAATACTCTCTGTTTTACCTATGAGAAGCAGTACCTGAATACACAGTAATTCATTTAACCATTCATTTAGTCATCCAACACTTACTTGGGGCTAATAATCAAGGTCCCCTGCCAAGTACTATATGGAAACAAAGATAAGAAAACACGGTCCAAGTTTCTTGTGCCATTTGGCATAAAGGATGGATGCGGCATCCCTTGAACACACTCAGAATGCTTCTGATCTTTGAGAAAGTATGCTTTTGGAAACCTAAGCTTTGTTAGTACCAACCACCCAAGTCATACTGCAGACATCTCATGTATGAAAACATAAAGCTTCTATAATTATCTTCACATTGCCATTGTACACCTTCCTGAAAAGGTAGTGGAGAATTATTTGCCTGCTAACTCATTTTTCATCATCTTCCATTTAGTCCCTAGGACAAGAAATCATACATAAATTTTTCTTTAGTAAAATCTATAACATTTAATTTTTTCCATGCTACCTTTCAGAATCGAAGTAGATAAGTGTACAGCTAATCTATATGATATTTCCAGTTCACCAAACATATCATATGAAAATATGTTACATTGGCTTGGCACCTGTAGCTCAGTGGCTAGGGCACCAACCACATATACCAGAGCTGGTGGGTTTGATTCCAGTGTGGGCCTGCCAAACAACAATGACAACTACAACCAAAAAATAGCTGGGCGTTGTGGTGGGCATCTGTAGTCCCAGCTACTTGGGAGGCTGAAGCAAGAGAATTGCTTGAGCCCAAGAGTTTGAGGTTGCTGTGAGCTGTGACACTACGGCACTCTACCAAGGGCAACATAGTGAGTCTGTGTCTCAAAAAAAAAAAAAAAGAAAAAAAAAAAAAAAAAGTCACATAATTAGTGACAATATTGTTGCACACATTAACTGGCTACATGACACATGAATATTTAAAAAGCCATATTGGTAATTAATAAATCTCACTTTTTGGCAGAGCTACAGAAAGACGATGTTATACCTATGAATTGTTTGCCAGATGTCTGATGTAGAATGTAAAGATGTATTATAGCCTTAAAACGTTGACTTCTACAGAGGTGACAATTATTATTAACTAGTTGATTTCAGTATATTCTGTAGCCATATTTAGTCCACACCAGTGCCAAATGTAGATGCTTTCTGAAATTGCTTTCATTCAAACCCAATCAGAGAAGAGCTCAGAGTAAGAATTACAGAATTGAAGAGTTGGGAAGAATGTTAAATATCCATCTCTTGATTTATCAAAAGTAGAATTACTTGACCAAGGTCACTATTATGGTTTCTCTCATGCACCTTTAACTATGTGAAGATTTCTTCAATTTAGGGTGAGTATGAAATATCAGAACAAGGCCTAGATTGCACTGACTATGAACTGCATTAGTTTTTCAGTATAAAACATGATGTTGTACAGTTGTTCCTACAACACATAATACCCATTCAATGCGTAGAATTAGATCTTCTTTCATTTTAGCATAGTTTTCTATCTTTGAATTTTTTTCTATCTTATTTTTAAGTTTCTCATTTTCAAACACTAATTACATATAAAATGGAGCTTATATTCACTTTTCATTTATCTATTTATATTTCATTTTGTAGTTTTGTCCACTATGTCTGTCATATACCTATCTTTAATAGAACATTCATTTCTGGTTTTTATTTTATTCTCCATTTTCCCCTAACTCTAAAGAGCTCACCTTTATTTTTTTCAGTTATCTCTTCTCTGATATTGTATTGTTTTTTATACCTTTTTACTGTGCTTTTTTTTAAGAGAGGGTTAAAGAAAATTTTAACATTTTCTACTGCTATCATGGGTAGGTAATCTTTTGATCTAAATTCTTCATTTGCCTTTTGTTTATTTGTTCATTTATTCTGGTGGTACCAATGTATAGTGTCTCTTTTTGATTTTCTGGTTAGTTTTTGAAGGGATGCTAAGGGTGGAGTGGGTTATTGTTCAGACCAAAGTCAACATCCCCATGTATCCCAGGCAAAGAAATACTAGGACTGCTGTTCCAGGGCTGCTGTACAAGTTGCAAAAAAAATGGTGGCTCAAAACAATAAAAATGTATTCTCTCACATTTCCGGAAGCCAGACAGCCCAAATCAAGGTGCCAGCTGGAGGCTCTGGAGGAGAATCTATTTTTCACCACTTCCATCCTCTAGTGGCTGCCTGCATTCCTTGGTGGAATTCCTTGTGGCCTCATGGCTTAGTCTCTGCCTTTGTCTTCACATCACTTTCTTTGTGTATATGTCACATCTTCCCCTGCCTCTCTCTTATAAAGACACTTAAGATGGCATTTGGGGTCCACCTGGACAATCCAAGATAGTCTCACCTTCAAAATCCTTAATTTAATCATATCTGCAAATACTCCTTTACTTTGTAAATTTACAAAGGTTAGATTTTGGTATCTTTGGTTGGCCAACATTAGTTTACTACAGAAAAGTATGTTCCTGTTCCCATTTATGTTGTTTGACCAAAAGCCCTGATTTATGTAATTGGATATTAGTAGATTGGACAAGCACAGAGGCTGGAAATGTACTTGTACAACTTCATTTGGTCCTTTTCTACCTTTGCCTTTCAGCATGGAAAGAAAAACATCTGGTACCAGCTTGTGTTCATTGTTTATTATTGCAAAATAAATTACCACAAAAGGTTGCTTAAAACAATAAACACATATTATTGTGTAGTTTCTGAGGGTCAGAAATTTGGGAGATTCTTAACTGGAAGCTTCCGAGCCTACATCTTTCATGATCCATGTAGTCAAGATGTTGGCCATGTCTACAGCCACTTGAGCTTGACCGTGGGTCATTACGGAAATTTTGAGGTACACAAAAGTCAATTAAATGTAAGATCTGTGCCAATGGAAACAAATGAAACCTTCCTGGCAACATTGATAAGCTGAGCAAGTTGAAAGTTGCACGGGTGAATCAGAAAGGACGCTGTTGACTGTGTGAGGATCTATTTCCAAGGTGCCTCCTTAATACAGCTGTTGGCAGGAGGCCTCAGTTTCTCACCATGTGCGCCTCTCCACGAGTTTTCTTAAGTTTTCCTACAAGACAGCAGCTACATGCAGTGCAAGGACGTCACATGCCTTTTATAACCTAG